CTAGATTGACGAAACTAGAATGGAGACTAGAGAATTGAAAATGAAGTTAACTAAGTCTACTGGAATATATGTATGTCAAGGAATTGTCCTCGTACCTGGAGGATTTCGGGTATGCATCCCGCCCTGGATATGTGTGTAATTTATCTCTTCATTCTGTCTGTCCTTCTCATGTTATTAGGGCAACTTTGATCCACCAATATGATGCCTAGTGATTACTTGGAAAGGAGAACAGATTTGGAGCTGCGAGTTTCTTTCTCTTTCTTTTGACGAAACAGGAAACGAAATGTGTTTTGAAATTCATTTCCTCGAAAAAGTGAAGATAGCTATTTCGTTACTTTGAAGAAATATTTGTATTGCATATACCAGGAAGCGGTTTCGTCAAAAACGAGGAAAGACAAAAACGAGGAAAGTTTCGTGATATTTGAGTATCAGTGCGAATATGTCTTTTTTTTAATATTTCATTTAATTTATCTGGATTTTTTTCCCTTGTAAATCTACAAGTGACAGTCTGCTATAGTAATCATGATTGTAAAACAAGTTAAAAAATTAATTAATCTATAAATATTTTTTTATACTTATTTCACCTTAGATGCTTTATTTAATATTTTTATATGGGTCTTGAATAATTTCATACCACAAGAAGAGAGTGAAAGAGCTCAATGAATATTTTTTTAATATAATATAATTTGTTTTAAAGACAACAAATACGAAAAAAAGAAAGTATTGAATATCCTAATTAAAATATCTTGCAAATAATAATTTGAAAGCACTTAAATTTCTAAGTTTAAGTATATGTTAATTACTGGTTTAAGCACGAAACTTTAATTAATTCCAAGTGACCAATAACTAAGCTTTTTTTCCTACTAAAAAATATCTCTTACAAACAACTTACTAATATTTATATGTACTCCATTTTTTTTAAAAAAATACTAAGCATACATTCATTTTCTTTAGATTTTCAATCATTTTTTATGACTATGCATTGCTGATGTAATATGCTACATTTGTCGAGAGACTCATTTTTGGTAATTGTTCATTGAATTATTTTTTCATGAAACAGAAACTTTTAAATATTTGAAGAAACTATTTCCTCACCCTTTTCGTCATTACCCTACATTTTGTGTTATTTTTTATCTATTTTGAAACCCTTTTTACTACATGATGGGATGGTTGAAGGATTTGTACATTCCCTTTTCATTCTGGTTTCTCATTCTGCTGATAAATGAGTTGACAATTGAATTAATCCATCTGTTCTTTCTATCAGTCGCATTTTCAAATAACGGACGATGGTAATTCTTAAAATTTTATGAAATAGTTATTTAAAATTTCGTCAAAAACAAAGAACATTTAGTGAGCTTTCAGTTTCAGATTTTTTCATAATTTTTACTGTATTTGTAAAAATATAGCTGTTGAATGCCGAAAACAATTACTTTTATTCAGATTCTAAGGTAATGTTTTAAATGTCAGGCATGAATTAATTGGAAAAATTTTTCAAAAGTGCTTGTAATTATATTTTGTAATTAAAATTTCGTTTAAGTTTCTTCCTGATAACCCATCAGAAACCGTGTAAAACTTTTTGTGTTCTAGTTTTCATCACAATGTTTCTATGACTAAAAGATCTTAATACTAAAAGAAGATGTTATTGAAGAATTTTTAATTTTAATGTGTCAAGCTGTTAATATATAAAAATGATTGCGAAAAAATCGTGTTGGTTGGTAAACAAAGTAAACAAATATAGGAACCACCTGGTCTTATCTAAGCTTCTAAAATGATTAAAAATGTAAAAATTTATTTTTGGTTGCCGCTAAAAAAGTGGGTTAAAATATCCAGAATATGTTAAAATTCTCCGTATTTTCTAGTTCTATAGGAGCAACAAAACGCGAAATAATATTTACTGTGTCACTTTAAGAATTAATTTTGATAGAATATAGTTTCATGCAATTCTGTTTGGTAATAAATCTTGTTAAAATCTGTTAATTTTACCAAAAGAGTTACAGTTATGGTATAATTTGATATATCGTAAAAATGTTTAGTTTGACAACTTCTGTTTAATTTAGTATTCGCTTCTTAACTTTGTATCGGAAGGTTAAAGAAATTGTGGCAATTTTATCGTGATTTTTAAGAGCATGACAAGGAAATACGTTTTTTCTTTTAAATTTGTTTTTCAGTGATGTATTTCTGCTAGATGTGGTAAAGAAACTTATATTTTTGAAAAGAATAATTTCGATGAGCATTACTATAACGAACGGAAAAATTACTAAACGAAAGAGCAAAATATGCAGTACACTATTAGAATTTTCATTCTGAAGTTATGGCAACAAAACCGACAATAATTTTAGAATTCAGTTTGCTCACCTGAAAGTGTATGGTAAAGAAAAAATTTTATCTTCGCGGTTTTGAAACTGTTTAAAACTAATATGGTTAACAAACCATGAATACAAAACTACATGTTTTTTTAACCATTTATAACTGGCATGGTTTCGAAACCCTACAAAGAGAAATTTCGCAGAACATTGGAGACAGTTCAGCAATTCTATGATTCTGCAATCTGTGCGTGAGTAAAAGTATCGTATTCTAATAGCCCAGGGTCAAAATTGAAAAGTGCTGGGCATTGGAAACCCTTCATGTTCAAATTAATATTTAGGAAATTAGGTAATATCGTAGAGTCAAGGCTAAGATTCAAATCCCCATTCTGTCGTTATGAGAGTGATTTGCTCTCTCGGCTAAAATGAGTACTGAAGTGCAGAAACTAAGTGGCTTCAATTGGTTGGTGGGAGAATATTTGAATTGTTTAAATGTATTTGGTGAAAGCAGTTAAAAAACGGTTTTCTCCCGGTTAACAGTTTTAATACCATCTCATTTATGATTATTTGACTGTTTTGTTTGAATATGGTAAAATAACAATTAAATAAATTGTTATTTAACCATTTTTCTGAGAAATTTCAAACTGTGTACATTTTTGTGTTAATTACCAGAATTCTCATTTTAAATTAAATATTATTTTACTTCACACGTATGATAATTTTACTAGAATTTTTTCATAGATTTGTTATTTTTTCCTTTAAAAACCAAATGCTGTGATATTTTTTTAGAATGTATTATATCATATTTATGAAATTCTTATATCAATTATGAAGTGTGTAGCTAATTTCTAACCAACAAAGAAATTGTACATTTATTGTACCATTGCTCAGTATGTAGGATTTGATTAGAAACAGTTTCAAATTCTCTGCAACAAAATTAAAGTTTTGTTAATAAAAAAAAGATTAAAAAAAATATTAACATTACATAGCAAAACAGAATCTTGACAAATCTTTTATAGGGAAATTAATTAAAATGTGCAAAGCAATTAATGACAATGACACTTTCGCGTCTTGCTGTTTTACTATCTATCTGAAATGAACAATATTGTTGCAATAACACAAAGTTAAAAATTATTTCTTGATCTAAACGTAAATAAGAATTAATTATAAATTTAAAAAACTACTTTTAATCTATCGCATAAAATGAAATAAACTTTAATCATTCATTAAAAATGGAAAAATATATAAAATATGTAAGATATATAAATTAAAAATATATAAAATATATAAATTAACTTCAAATCCAAGTATAACTAAAAAAATTCCATTTAATAATGAACAAAACTCTAAGTTAGATTTTATATATTTTAAGTAATTTTCTCTTTTGATTGTAACAGATTCTATTCTTAAAAAAATAGTACGAGAGTTTGAATTTTAAAATTAAATTTAAATCCATGTAAAGTAATCTAAAATTTTCACTTCAATACTTATCAGAAATTTTCACTCCAATAACATTCCCGACTGAATGATTTCCGAAAACCAATTTCTTTAAATCTTTCTCGAATTTTTCATACTTATATGGGATAATTTTTATCTTTTTAGAACAATAAGATTGAAAATATTTATTAATCTGAAAATAGTAAGTCCTAATAAAAAAATTGGTCATAAACTTTTAAGCCATCATTCCTAAATTCAGTGGCACGACAGCCTATAGAGCTTCAACGCCTACTGTGCCCATCTCAGTTTTCTTGACCTTGGGCTCTGAAGTGCAGAAGAAGATGTTTCAGTTAGGTGGTCAACCGAACGCAGAACCCCCAGTGTTTAGTCTCCAAGTACGCTTGGTACTCATTTTATTTACCCACTGAAATGAAAGGCTGCGTTTAACTTGCTCGGAACGAGGATCGAACCCAGGATTTGCTGCACGAGAGCACGCTGCCCTACCACTCAGCCACCGGGCGTCTTTAAGCATTTACACAAACTAAATTAATTTTCCATCTTACAAAAAATATATGTATATTTAAATAACCTTGAATCTATGAATATTACTTTGAAGCTATAACAAGTGCTCTTTACCTATTAAAGAAACTGAACATAAAACCGAAAAAAATTCGAAAAACTTTTAATTTACTTTAAATTTAAAAAACTTTTAATTAAATTTATTTTTTGCTCGAAACATTCCATATTCTTGCTGCAGTAAACCTAAAACTTTCTTTTTCAAAATAATTTTAAATCCAAGAAAAGCAATCAAATGTTTTCACTTCAATACCTATCAGCAATTTTCTCTTCAATAACATCACAGTCTGAATGATTTCCCCAGACCAATTCCCTAAAATGGGAGAAAAATCAATCTAAAAATACTGTTATTTCGTTCGTCAAAAAGGACAGAAAAATAAATTCCTGTTTGTATAATCTTCTGTATTGTGTGTGGGACCTATTCTGTTCCGGGCCACAATTTTTCCAACCATTTTATATTTTACTTCTGTTGAAGCATCTCAAAGTTTTCAAGTTCCCATCAAAAGTGCCCTTTTTTGTCAACTGGAAAGCCCGCGAGGCGTGCATTGGAGAAGATAGATACAAGAAGAGAATAACGACAGGGAATATAAGTCTAAAAAATAAGAGGGAAGTTCGCGAATCCTGACGTCACACCGTCACGTGGCTCCTGCGAATCGAAGCGCGCGCCGCCTTCTGCCGCGCGGGTCACAGAGAACTGCTGGTCTGCAGACGAGAACTCAACTACATCCGCGAATGAATCAAATGATTCCTGCATTTATCGTCTGCTCGGAACAAAAAAAGAAAACTTTCATTCTTCGCCTCAAACGTCAACACGCTCTAATCAAATAAAGGAAACTATCGGTGCTCTTTCGAATTTATTATCCTGTGCACTTAGCGAAAGTGAAAAGGAATAAATTTATAATTTTCCGTTTCTCTTGCAAAAACAAATGATAAAATTATTTACAGAAAGCTAAAAAATAAAATTAATTACTACAAAATAAAATAAATTTAGTGTTTAAATTGACAAGTTAACCTAATGGGGCCTAGATGGCCTCTAGAATATGTGCAATATTATGACTATGTTTATTCTTCAAACTTTCCAACTCGGCTGATTTAATCAGCAAACGATTTTGAAACGTTATTATTTTATTATTATCGTAAAAATAGTGTACAAGTTTGTTCCAAACTCAAAAGAAGTATGATTGTTAACAAAGTTTCGGATATAATGCTGCATGGATTTAAAACAAAGTGTGAAAGCAATCAGTGCTGTAGTTTTTTGTCCCGGGACAAAAAAGTTCGTGCTGTATCTTCAGCAGGAAATAGGCCGGGATTTATTATCAGGCCTAACCTAAAATTTCAAGCATTGCTACTGCTTTTTATGTATGGGCTTCAAACATTTAATGTTGGACATGCAGGTAGGAGAGTTATTTTATGCTTTTTTATATTAAAAAACTGCATCACTCACACTGGGTCATTTGTTGATATTTATTGTATTTTCTTGACTGAATGCAATATTAACTAATATTTCCTTTTTATAGCATTTTGTTTACTCAAATTAAATAAGTTTACTTTGTGGGCATTGTAGAATTTTAGTTTCTTTTATATGATGTTTGAAATATTCAGATAAAAAATGGTTACTATTACTACTTAATATTTAATCAAAAATTTTAACAATATTATTCTGCGTCCGTCAAAAAATTATATTCATAATAAATGTTCCATATTGTTTTTTTGAAAAATACTTTCTTGAACCTGAGTTGCTTACAATAATTAAGAAATATATTAAAACATTTGTTAAGCCTTAATTTTACTTATTAAAAAGAAAAAAAGGGAAATCTTTTAAATATTAAAATGTTTATATAAATTTATATAGGTTAAGCACTATTACTTCTAATACCCAAGTTCACAGTGTAAACAAATACACGTAAAAAAATATACACGTAAAAAAAGTTTAATAAATATTTTCCTCTTACGGATATTGAAGTTATAAAATTTCAGTTTCATCCATACGATGTTTAAAATATATGGAGAAACGAAATTTAATAATTATTATTTTTTCTACAAATTTTTAGCACTCTTCATTTCCACATTCTTAAAGAAAAATAATACTTTTTCCAAAAAATNTTCCTCTTACGGATATTGAAGTTATAAAATTTCAGTTTCATCCATACGATGTTTAAAATATATGGAGAAACGAAATTTAATAATTATTATCAGTTTTAATAAGTAAACATAACATATGAAAATTTCAAAATATTTAAATCATTATATCCTTATTTATATAAGATAATCACTATTGTTTCAACAAGTTATACAATATATATATATATATATATATAAATGCAACTACGTAGTTTGATTAAATAACTAAGACTTAGGAAAATTAACATTTCAACCTACATACTTTTTGAAGTTAAAATAATTGATGTACCATCGATAATTATATGCATACTATAATTTATTGTTTAAAACCATGAAATTTCTCTTTATTAAAAGCGAAAATTGCGAATTGTGAAATAAAAATAATTCATAGTTTTAGAGATTAAAATAATCACTGAATTACGTGTCACAAAAGAATAAATTACTTATTCACAAATAAAAAAAAATATTTTTACCTACACATTTGTATTTAGATTTTTTATTCTGTGTGTAAGAAATAGTCAAGAAATGTTTAATTCATTTACTTGTGCTTCGGTCGAGTCCTTGAAACACTGCAATTCGTTTTTTCTGTCTTAATCATAAGCACGTGAGGGGAAAGAAATTGTCAAATGAAACAAGTCTTAGGGATTTAGATTATGTTGTTTGTATTATGTTATGTGTTTCGGAAGGTAAATTACTCATTCAAACTTAATACCATTTTTAAGAAAAATTCTAATTTACTTAATACTTTCTAAAGTATTATAATTTTTTATGCGTATAATTTACAGTTGAAAATTAATATTTATGATGTTAGTTATTAATAACTGACATTCTTCATTATCAATTAAGTTTCTCAGATTAATAATGAGAAACTACTAGAGAAACTTACTAGAGAAAAATAAATGCAGAAGAAAATTTATAGCAATTATTTGTAGAAAGTGCGTTTTACATATATGCGAACTATGAATAGCAATTATTCATAGAAAGTGCGTTTTGCATATATGCGAACTATGATTACTTGTTTCGCATAATATATAAAGTTGATGTGAAAAGAACATTTTAAGTTAAGCTTAACAAGATTAATTTTGCTTACACTTATTATTAAGTACCACCACTGCTCTATTTAAATTATTCTCAATGCATAAATCTGGTCCAGTATATCGCATTAAATTATTTTTAATTAATGGTTTTCAAAATCATTGAAAGTTAATTTTAGTAAATTAAAAATCAAATAATAAATCGTAAAATTTACTACAATTTTAAATATTATTTGAGAAAATCTCCCACCGAGAGGGGTAAAAACTTTGCAAGTATGTTTTTACGTTATTAGCATATAAAAAATTTTAATCATGTTTTCAATTCCAAAATATTTTAAAAAGAATATTTTAAAGATATCTGACTCTGGCTTATTAAGTCTTTTTTACTTTTTTTTAAGGAAAAACACTGTTTTTTTCATTTTTGTACCTACACAACCATGGACTTGATTAATTGTTGAGAAAAGGAAAAACGTAAGACGGAGTTAGTTTAATTATCGATATTGCACTTGGGAATCTTAATACGATTCTAAAGATGAGTATATTTATCAAAGGTTTTATTTTAAATTAGTAAAACAATTTTTAGATACAAGTTTTAAAATATGAGACTAAGCATAGAATATTTTAAACAAGTGAATAATATTTGAATTAATATTTTATCTTAAGATAATGAAAGGATGATTTGTTATCTAAAATGCCAAATTCTTAATAAAAAAAATTAAAGAAAAAAATATTTTGATTTGTTTAAAATAAAAATTAATTGTAAAATAAGAATTGATACCAAAATTAATAAGAGCTGATTCTAATGCATTAAATAAAATACCTTGCATTATAAAATGCAAACGTAAATCCTTTCAGGCAAAAAAAAATTAATAATATTTTTAAACTCTCGAAAGTCATAAAAATTGATTAATAATGATAATTAGTTTTTTTTTAATATTTGTAGTACATTTGCAATAATTTTTTTTTTGTGAAAATAAAAATAATGGAAATTTTAAACAATCACACAAATAAGAAAAAGTAATGTGTATAAATTCCATACGTTTTTTATTGTATGTAAATTGTCTTCATTTTAAAGTATTATACTTTAAAAGAGAAATTTAAATTTATTTATGATGAACTGAGTAGTAAATATCTTTTAACTGTTATAATTAGTATGGTTCAATGCACGTTTATTTAATTGATATTATTTCAGATTTAAAGAGATGAAACTTCTAGTGATTTTATTTGTCAAAACTTTAAAATATTGGCTTTTCATTATTCTAGAAAGTCATTTAAAATGAATTGTAGATTAAATACATATTCTATATTAATTAAGTAATTGAAATATTTCATACGTCAAGAGTTATTATTATTTTTTTGAGAGAAAGAACAGAAGCATTGAGAATAAGATTTATTCTATATAATATTTAAAATTTTTTTAAATACTAAATTTTTAATCGTAAAGTTTTTAAGCAATTTAAAGGTATTTTTAGTTGCTTTTCCTCAAATAAGAGTACATATACGTGCTTTAAAAAAGCATTTTGAACGAAATTTATTATTATAGTGTTTAGAAAATGTGTGAAAAAAATAAAGTACACATTTCAAACCTCTCTCTGATTTTGTAACTATTTGAATTCGTTTTCATCAAAATTAGAATTTTTTTCATTATTTAGAAATTGCTTAAAATATGATTAAGGATTAATAATCGTTGTTATCTTATACATCACCAAACACGTTTAACTCAAGTTTAACCAGAAATTTTTAAACACCCAATAAAAAATTAAAAATGAGAGTCATTTGTGGAAAGTCAAAAACCTCTGATACTTAGAATATACTGTTAAATATAATTCCTCTATAGAATATATGTTTCGGATGGAAGTCATATTTTCTGTGCAGCTAGAATTTTTCTTCCTAAGCAATATAATTTATGTTTCAATTCAAAATATACTTTTCTCGAGCAGTAATTACATTTAAGAAGCCACAAAATATTATAAGGGATAAAAAAGTAGCAGTTCAAAGTACAGAAAAATCCCTGTTTGTTTTATTACATTTGATGCCAATGTTGTAGAACAGTTGTAATAATAACGAAATCAACAAAGCCCGTCCGACTTTTCTTCAATACAATTGGTGGCCTCTGAGTTGTACTTAGTCGTACGAAAAAGTGCAGATCTCTTACTGAAATGAAAACTACAATTGGCTACAAACAAAACTACAAAACTACAATAATCATTAAGCAGTGAAAAAACAGAGGGTTTTTGAGAAAAGTCCGATCATCTTGGCCTAACATTAACTCCCATAATTTAAGAGGCAGATCGCAGTGTTTCTGCGAGCTACAGTGTACTTATGGGCTAAATAAATTTAAAATCAATATTTTGCAAAAAAGATAGCGCAAATAATGATGTAGAAAAAGGCATACTATAGTTTCTGTACTATAACGAAGAGTTGCTTCAGTGTTATTCATTATGTGTTCTGTTTTTTGCCTTACATTTTTTGCCGTCAGATTTTTGTCTTACAATAATTTTAAACGTATATAGAAAAAGTTAAAAGTTTAAATATAGGGGCTTCTGTTCTTAGTTTTACCGAAAATGTATTATTTAGTGCAATGGAAAAAAAAATTAGAGAAATGGAAATTAGAAAAAAGTGATTATTACTTATCATGAATATATTATGAATTTTCCGAGAAATATATAACAGTTTATAGAAATATGGTTGTAAACTGTTATAAATATCCAGAATAAAATATATTCATATCCAAAATGATATAAGTGCCATTCAGATGCATTGATTAAAAAATTGAGCTGTTCCAATAATAGCTTTCATGAGTTGATTAATGAAAATATGCCTACACTAATTATATCTTGAAAATTGTCAATTTTTTGCATATTGTTATTTTTGATCATGTTGAAGCATAGACTGTTTTTTGCTTTAGAATTTTTATCTGGTCATATTTTCCTCGAAAGAAATCCTAAGGAGAGAAAAAAAACGTTTGCCACCAAAACGCTTTTTTTCCCTTTTCTTACTGATGTAGACAACAACAAAATAATGAAGAAGAAGTCTTATCATTTCAATTAGAAAAGGAAACATGCCTTAAATTGCCAAAGAATCATTCGTTTGGAACTTCTGTAGCAAAACGTTAAACAACTTTTAACAATATATTTTAGAAATCTTTGGCTTTTGTAACATTGTGTTCATGATGAATGAGAACTAAAAAAAAGAGTCAGAATACTTTGTTAAAATTCCAACTAGAATATATTGATTTT